TGCTGGCATACCCATGTTTGAAGAAGTTTTTTGAAAAGTATCTGTTGTCAATTCACATCATTCATCATGTCGAAAGCCAAATGGATTTCTCAGAACTCCTGCTTATTTAGCCATCTTTCTCTGTAGTTCTCCCTATGGGACAGAATGAAATTAAATTTAAACTAGGCTTTAAATTATTTAGTCAGAGATAATTGAGTTTGGAAAGTCATACTAGAGAACGATCACCCAGGGAAGTAGCTAAATATTTTGGAAGAGGAGGGGGGACAGGAGAAGGGAGTTGACGTGTCATATTGGGTATAGTAAAATCACAAATGTTATCAGTTCTCATAGTAAAAGGCACAAGCTGCTCTTTTTTTCTGGTTGTGCAGAAAATAATTTCCTGCACACTTAAGAACGGCATCCTTTCTCCTCTGAAGGAACTGGGCCCTAAGGGGGCTGAAAAACCTGGTGAACAGATTACCTCATTTTTAGGGGAACTACATTTTCCAAATAAAAGAACAAGCAGAACTTGTTTTTACATTATTAACTTCTCATAAGGCCATGAGGGCCTCCTATAAGGAACAAAAGCTGACTAGAATAAAAAGGCTGTGTTGATCTCACTGCTGCTTTTAACTCAACAGTGACACAGACAGGTTTCCTTGAGGAAAAGGTATTTTCTAGTTTAGCTGTAACTGAATCTATCATAAAACAAGGATCATTCATATTCACCTGAATAAAATAGCTCTGTCAATATCCATCCTTATTTCACTCCCCTCTCTCTAGCCATCACAAACACCACCATTCCCCTGGATTTATCCTGATAGAAGCAGAGCAGGCCTGCAACTGCTTTCCTTGGACCAGTATTTCCTAATTACCTTTTCAGAAAAACCCAAACCGTACCCTAACAGACTAGAAAAAAAATCCACTCTGATTAAAGGAACCAAAACAACGTAGGAGCTGAGGGAAGACGCTCAGGGCTGGCACACACCAGCACCTCCAAGGCAAAAGGACACTGTTTTGGGCAACTCACACACTGGGCTTACTGCTGACTATGCCGTGAATGGCTCAGGGTGAGCATCCTGCTGGACACTGCTTTTTTAGTTTTCCAGGGATGACGGACAGTCCTGATCAGGTAGGGAAGGACCACGATCGCACAGTGACCTTGACAAGCAAAAGTGTTCTTCTCTATGCACACACATATACGTCACAGTGACCGCTCTCACACACATAGCACAAATAAACATGCTTTTACATCATACCAGCGACCAGAAACTTCTGGGCTTGGTATCTCTCCCCAGAAAGCTCCACTATAACACTGTCCCCGGGGCAGAAGCACCGCTCTCCTCTCCCCAGCGCCAGGAGAGGCCTCGGTCCTCGCCTCGATCCGGACACCCTGAGGGGAGCCAACGGCCCAGCCCGCGGCTGGCGGGAAACCGGCGGCGCCCCCGCCTCCCCAC